GATGGTGAAGTGAAGAGACTCAGAGCACAACTAAGAACACTGCCCAGAAGCTTCAGAGCTGGCCGTCAACACTATGGAGATGCAGAAGCAGCAGGAGATATGATCCATGCTCTCACTGACCATCTGGTACAGTTGCAAAGACACAGTACACAAATGGAAATAACATCAGATATCAGTTTCAGCAGATCTACTCCATGTAGCTCCACAGGAAACATAGGGAGGCAGATGAGGACTGGGTAAAAAGATGGACTTTTAACCATTAGAGCTCTAAGGGGAGGGGGCTGCCTTGTGGGGTGCTGAGCCTCTTCACAGTAGAGGGGCTCCAAGACGGGATGCCTCTCTCTCTGGGATGCTGCAGACCAGACAGTTTAGGCTGCATGACCCTGCTTCTCCCTCACGGAGTCTACAAGTTTGCAGCTTCATGCATTTTAACTGACCTCACACTTTGAGAGGCATGTAAGCCACCCGTGGTGACAGCAAAGGCTTGACCAGCAGGTTGGAAGGGCTCACTAGACTGAGAATTCATCCCTGGGCTCTGCTGCAGGATCTGTGCCCAACTAGGAAGAAAGGCTGCTAAAGACTTCACTGATTTGACTGCTTCAGGGCTGCTCTGGGAAAGTGGTTTTCAGACATCTCTCTTCATAGGCAAGTGTCAGCCAAATGTGTGGCAAGTAGCCTCACCCTGGGAGGCGCTTTTATGCCTAAAGCCTGGGAAAGCACTAGAACTAAAACATCGCCTGAGGGAATCTGCTGCAGGTTTGGCTGGCAAACCTTCCCATCTAGCTAATGAGAAAGGCTTGATTGAAAGCAGCAGAGGAAAATGAAAAAAAAAAAAAAAAACAGAGGAAGCAGCTTTAACCATAGCAACCTCCCACCCACTCCAGTAGGCTAAGGCCCAGGCCCTAACGCCTGTGAGGAAAATGACGCTCAGACAAGTTGGGAGACACCTGCCCAGGGTATTTTGAATTGAATTCTGGGCACCCTCCCTGGAATCAGAGTTAGGTTCCCCAGGCTTGGAAAGGTTCTTCTTAATGGTCTGAGGGAACCAGGGCTCGGCTGATAGCAAAAATCACTTCCCAGCCCTTTATGAATCCAAAGTCAAGTTCATGGATCTAGACTGCGAACCATAAGAAGATAAGCTATTACTTGAATTTCATAGAGGTCTCCGCGGGTGGGGGTGGGGTCAGGGGATGATACAGACGCAGAGAAGACAAAGAGCTCTGCTTCTTGCTGATGCAGTTCTTCGCCAAGGTCTGGTTCTCCAGCAGCTATAAAGGAATAATCACAATGATTCATATTCACATATTCATAGCTGATTCAGTGTAGCTTTCCATTGCCAAAGTGGCAGCAGGAGCCCCAAGGGACTCACTTGGGGGCAAAATAGGGAACTGGACTCTAAAATCAAGCTTCAAGCAAAGGATCTGTCATTTATTGAGAGCCTACTATACGTGTAACTTAAAGGTTAGTTATAACCTGACTCATCTGAGCAGCAACAGATACCTTTATGGCTCTGCCATTAGTCATACATTTGGATTCCTTCATGCCTCACTTCTTGGGGAGAATGTGTTTAGTATGTGGGTGTCTGTATGAGAAAGGACAGCCTTTTATTTGTTGTCAACAGTAATCTGCCTCAGAACTTATATCAACCGTGTACTTATGGTCCTCAGCTCTGATAGTAGAGTCTGCTTTGGCCTCAGTTTCCCTGATGGGGAATCTTATAGATTGTCAGGGTGCCAAAGATTACCCTGGGGTTGTTCTGGATCAGTGAGGTCTTCCTATGCTCTGACTGACTCGGGATAAACCTTTTGTTTACTCTGATATAAAGGGACTCGACTTATTCACTGTATTAACTGCTGAGGACCAGGTGTGGCTTGGATAGCTCTTGCAGCAGATTATTTACAAGTTTCCTGTGCCTGGGAGATACACCAGAGTGCAGCTGCAATTTCGTTAAACTTTTCATAGGATTTCAGAATCTGAGGATCCCAAGGCTCTGATACATAAGTAAGTGGTGGCCCCTACTTACAGTGTCTCAACTTACCACTTTTCAACTCAACAACGGCATGCCAGTGATATGCATTCACTCCAACCATAGTTAGAGTACTCATATAACCGTTCTATTTTTCACTTTCAGTAAAGTATTCAATAAATTACATGAGATATTCTACACTTTATCATAAGATAGCCTTTGTGTTAGACGATTTTTGCCTAACTGTAAGCTAAGTGTTCTTATGTTTCTAATCTTCCAGGCCTCTCAAAGCATCCGTGTTTCCTGCTTCAGTGGTCCCAGTGGAGTCACTCATTCTGTATTTAATGTATTCCGCACTTTAAATGGGCCTGTTAATTACTCCCTCCTCGCTCTGAATTTACTAATTTATTGATCAAATTTCTTTTTGTGTGTGTGAGTTTTATTTTGTATGTGCAAAGAATTTATTTGGATCAATTTTATTGACCCCCCTCCCACTCCCGCCTCCTGGGATACTTTCCCAAACTTTAATTAAGTCTCTGGGAAGTCTCTTTGCTTAAAGGCAAGCCTCTTGCTTCCTCCTTTTGTGAGCATTGATAGCATCTGAGTACTCTAGGCTAAGGTGGGTCTAACCACATTCTCAAGCAGGTGGATATTTTAAAGGGCAATTTAGAGTGGGGAAGAAGTAGGGCGGGGGCTCTCAAAAATGTGCTTCCCAGACCAGTGGCCTTAGCATCACCTGGGAAGTTAGAAAATTCTCAGACTCCACCCCAGACCTCCTAAATTGGAAACTGGGGTGGGACCCAGCACTCTATTTTAACAACCCTTCCAGCGGATTCTAATGCCCACTCAAGAGTGAGAACCAGGATTTGTCAACCTTGGTACTATTAATGTTTTGTGCTGAATAATTCTTTGTGGTGGGGCTGTTCTGTGCACTGTAGGGTATTTAGCAGCCCACTGACCTCTGCTCACTAACTGCCAGTGATACCCCCAAGTTATGACAACCAAAAAAGTCCCCAGACATTGCCAAATATCTCAAGGGAGACAAAATCATCCTTGGTTGAGAACCACTGCACTAGGGGCTCAAATCGTCCTCCCTTTCCTCTTTAGAATTGTCTCCTCTTTATTTCCCTTGAGGACTGCATACATTGGGCAAAAGTATCTAAGAGTAAATACCTCATGGTCTCTGATCCATGGCCTTATTTTATATTTCACATATATGTACTTTTTATCCCCAAATATTGTCTTGGGCTAGGCAGATAATAAGCCCAAAAGACTGTTTTGTTGTAACAGTTCATTTAACCACCTAGGATTAATGCCCCATTCTCTGGCCTCTCTACAAAACTCCTTAACTTTTCCAGAGGGTGATCTGATTTTCATTTCCCTCAGAGGCTTGAGATCATTTCCAGACTGTGAAAGAAGTGGGTGGGGGGGATTCAGAGAATGTCATCACTCAGGAAGGAGGTGGGAGTAGGGACTAGGCAGCAGTTTCTGCTCAGGCCGCTCTCACTGCTGAGAAAACCCAAGTGCCACTGTGAAGAGGACAGTGAAAGTTACAATCAGTGCCTAGATTAAATGGATGAAGCTGAATGAGTTTGCCTTTGGACATTATCACATCTACTGTAATCTGCTTCCTCTATGCATATGCACTTCTCTCCATCCTCCCTCTATTTCTGCTCCATGGCAAGCCTGCTCTTCACTCCTACGTATGAGTGACTCCATCTCCATGTTTCAGGAAGCACCACTGTGTATATAGGGGCCAGGATGCAGATTAAGGGAGGTGCTGGGAATATGGTAATACCGCAGTCAACTCCAGTACCTGGTCCACTGACAGAGGTACCAGCCCAAGGGGCAGTCATAGGAACCTACCTCCCACTGCAGATCTGTGTCCTAAAATTTAGGTTTCTGTCCATCATGCCAATCAGGGAGATGAAGTGCCTGCTCCTGAGTGGTACCCTTAAGCCCATGGGCATTCTTCCCCCACCCAGATCAGGCGGTCAATAAAGAGGCAGCCAGTTGGAAGGCTTTCATGGTGCCAGTCTAGACAGGCCTTAAAATATTACTGAAATAAACCAATAACATACTGCCAGTTTATTTAGATTTCCATACACGACTTCACAGAACTAGCGACATGTAAATTGGTTCTGCTTTTTCCAAAGTTGACAACATCCTTGAGCGAAAATTAAAAAGAAAAGTCAAACAACACCACCAAACCAAACTCACTTTACAGTAACAGCCAGCTGAAATTCTGACACCTAGTAATGTATGGCATAGTGCTGATAATGGAACCAAAGATTTATTAATTAAACTTTAAAACCCTTTATATAACTCTCAAGAAATTTTTAGGCTCAGATATTTGCAAAAGAAAAATGGAGAGCAAGAACGAAGAAAAGTAGGAAATATGCTACTAAAATAGCTTCAGCCAGTGGAAGTAAATTAATAAATGACTGTGATTTTATTAATAGAAAATTAGTTTTTCCCCATTCCCATTAAATTAATATTAAACAAATATTTGAAAAGCATGCCCATAGCATTCCCAGGTCTCAGGCCTTTCTTGCTCAGGTCTGCAGAAAGCATCTAAAAATGTGCTGGGTTCACTGGCTCAGGGAATTCAAACTTTCAGGTCCCTCCCACCTTCTCACTGCCTGCCCCATGCCTTGCTATATGAGCATCTGTGTCTTCTGACACCTTTAGGTTCCTATGTTGGCTCTCCTTTCTCATCTGGCTTTCTTTAGCCTTGGTACTCTGATTCCCATGGAAGCTGCCTGTAAGATTTGCTCCATGCTTCCATTTTTAGAAATGCTGTTCACGTGCACCTGCAGCAGCAATGAATCTCAGTCCTGAACTCAGGTGTACATAAAATGTAGCTTTCTTAATTTTCTTTAAGTTGTTGTGGAAAAAAAGAGCACAGACTCAGAATTTTTAATTAAGTCTTGGCTGTTCAAAAGAATTGCATTACAGGAAGGAAATAGAGAAGTACTCACTATTCAGAGGCTGGGGCCTATCACACCCGGGATCCTTATGTCAAAATCACAAGATGTCCTTTAAACATGAATACAACCTGAGATCCCTTTGCGAGATCTGTCTTGAGACAGCAAGGGGTGAAGATTCTCATGATCCTGAGCTAGGGAAGGTGAGACCTTGTGACACTCAGCAGGATGCAAGAAATAGACATAAGTTAGCAAACTTCCAAAAGGCTATTTAAAAGAGGTGCTGGTAATACCCATTTGAAAAGGGGGGGTAGTGGTGTGACTGTGTTTATCTAGTGAAACATTAGGGACCAATCATTTTGGCAACACTTTTTTTCTTCTAATTTGTGACCTGTGACTGTTTTTTTCCTCCCGGTCTATCCTCTGTGGATTTGTGAGTTCACACATTTTTACCTGTACATGAACTTGACAATGAATATGCTTCACCAAGGATCACACTCATTCACCACCACCATAAAAGACGTTTCTGGGAGATGGACATGGTGGGAGGCAGGAAAGGAAGACCTTCTTGGTGGATGATGGCAAACTACAGTGGTAAGCAAGGTGAGATGTTTAAGAAGACTCGATTGGTATTAGTTCAGTTGTTTCCCAGTTCCTGTGCTGAAGTTATCTTTTCATGCATATCTTTGAGACTTTGTTGTGGTCTTCACCTCAGCTTGTCATGGATGCCAAGAATGGCCTCCTTTTTCCTTCTAAGCCTAAAATGACACAGGTCTTCGGAAACCTAGGGGTTTTCATCTAGCCCTTAAGATCTTAAGTGGTATTGGTGTTTTGTAATGGAGTTAGGTTTGCCCTATTTTGATGGGGTTGTGGCTTGAATCCTTGGGTCCCTGGTCCACAAGTGGGGGCCTGTGTGCAATTAGATGAATGTTTCTGATGAGTGGTCTGGAGTTCACACAGCTGTGTGGGTGGGTCTAAGGAACTTCATAGGATAGGCACCTCTGAGTTTGAGGCTGTTTGTGCTCTGGAATTTCTTTGCGCAGACCTAGTCCTCCAGCTGGTGTGGATATCTTGGTGTGGAGCCCAGTGTTGGTCTGCAGCCTGCACACATACTGAAAGGAACTGTAGATGTTAGCCCTTGACTGTAAGACTGCAATGCATCTTTCAACATTTGAGGGCAACCGCTGGATTTCTGGCTGGAGGACAATTTCATGTAGACTGAGTTCCACAGTCCAGTGACTTGTAGTTCACAGGTTCTTTCATTATTTGAAGGCTTTAGGCCACTTAAGGCCTGTTTAATGGTACAATGTACTTAGTCCTTGCTTTATGTCACAGATTTTGCTTTTGTTTCTACTTTGCCAGAGCTTTGAGGGTGGTGAAGAATGTGTTTGAAATTTGTGTTTTGCAGCTTTAGGCACATGTTGAAAATTTTGTCCCACAAAATAAAAACCTTGGTCTGATTTCATGTTAAGTTGAATTCCCCAGGGAACAATGTATTCCTGGAGTTTTTTTTTTTTTTACAGTGGCAATAGTATTGTCCTTACTGCAGAGTAAAGCCTTGGGCCATCCAGGGTAAAAAAAAAAAAAAAAAAAAAGGCACACATTACAACTAAGACATGGCAGTAACCCCCTGCCTGGAAACAGTCAATAAAATCAATTTGCAGGTAGGTAAAGGGACTTCAACTCCAGTCGTGTCCTATATCACATTTGTAGTAGCTTCCCTGCATTGTAAGTAGTGCAAAGAGGGTAGTTGAGATATTCCGAGAAGATGCTATATTTGAAAATCACAGTATAAATTCAGCTTTTTTGATTTATTCCATCATTTCCCCCTTTATCTATATGTACCTTAAACAGGATACCTGGGCTAGGACAGGGAGGCAGGACTTGGAGGCCACAGGATTCCTGTCAGGTTATGGTGAACAGGCTAGACGAGGCAGGCTGTCGATGCCCAAGCAGTCTTCCTCTTAGTGAGGCCCCATTGTGTTGATGGGGCAGGTAGGACCTGGGGACAGAATAGAGGGGTGCCTGCTGTCGGCTGACAGTCTGGGTGTCTGTGCAGGAAGCAGTGTTAGCAGTTGTGTCACCTCGAGCATGTCTGTTTTAAGTATTTTAAATTGAGTATTTTAGATTGTTTAACAAACAAATCTGCCTGGGAACTAAACATTTCTTAAAAATTAAATAAATTTATAAAAATGACAAGCCTAAAGGTCTTAGGTGTTTCAATACTGAAAATAAGATTTCACTTTGAAATCATAACTCTAAATTAATTACACATTTCAAACTATATTCATAAGGCTGTCACTAACAAGGTGAATTCTCTCACGTATCACACACATATAAAATATCAAATATACACAACTTCATTTTTAACACAAAAATATAAATATAGTTGGCTACTTCTTTCAAACATCTCTATACCTAATTCTAAATCATCACCTAAGGAAGAATTATCATATAAAGTCAATGAGGATATTTACCACCAGAGATTCTCATTCACAACCCTGATAGGATACCCTGAATCTATTTATGGTTGTTTTATGAGTGAATCCATGACTTCAAGAAGTGAATGATCAGCGGCTTAGCCCACTTCTCTGGGTTAAAGTTATATACGTTACATAATAAGTCTGTGGCTTCCATCCCGGTTGATAAAAACTTATGATATGTTAATATATTTCTCCTCACTCTAAAGAACTTGGAAATTGATGGGATCGTGTGATATGTTAATACCTTTCCCATTCATTCATAGTCTTAGGACCATACGTATCTGAAGGATACTTAAATTCATACCCAATTGAGTTCCAGATATTTGAGACCACAGTTTATGAGTCAATCTGATATTTCCCTGGAGTCAGAAAATGTTTTTCAACTGATATATTTACCATTCCAGTTTCTATATGCTCCATTGATACAATAAGTTAATCAATAATGCCTCATGAATGAGAAATAAGACTCCATAGAAATGCATTCTATTCTGTCCACCTACTTTTAGAGTCATTTGTTACTGTTTCTCTTTGTGTATCGTTATAGAAGCGTGGCTTCTCATAGATTTACTGTATTTCAGTCAACTATAGTCATTATTTTCTTGATGCTCAGATTGTCACAACTTTGGCTAGTGAGAGCCTTTTTAAAACTTGCTCCTATATTTTTCTAACAGGACCCACTAATCATTAAAGGTTTACATTGTTTTCTGGCACAACAAGATTTCCTAGGCTCACCCTGTACCTTTCTGCCCCAGACGTGAAATCAGGAGCCGTGATTCCTTTTAGAGGAAAAATACTGTCAGAGACCAGAATACGAGCGCTAGGGGGCACTGTGGGGGCATCATTGTTCTTGGGTTATTTCAATGAACAGAGCTAGAAAAGATTTGTAGTTTTTCTTGTTTCATATTGTTATTTCTAATTCATTTCTAAGGGTACAGAATTCTTTTCTAAATCTTTGATTTCTAACACAGTAAATATAATTACCTACTTGCTTAATCTTGTTAAAAAAAGTTTCAAAATAATAATACAATACTAAAACAAACGAAGGGTCAAAATAAACTTCAAGATTTTCTATACAGTTCATTTTGTTCTTAGCTGCATTCCACTAAGAATGTGCAGTCAGATTTCTTTATTCTAAAATCATAACTCCTCATTCTGTGTGGCTAAGTAAGTATTTGTCTGATGGATAGTTTTCATTCAATTATTTGTTTGCTTTCAATTTAAAAGACTTGTTGTCTTTTAGCAGTTGGTATTTCTTAGTTTTTAGAAAGTGAAGGCTCTCTACTCCCACTCTTTTCCTGGTAATGACAGGAATTAAAGGAGATGGGAGGATCCATTTACCTGTCTACCTGGAGATGATGGAAAGATTCAGATGCTCATTCTCCAAAGTTCTGTTCCATACACAATGGTACAAGATTCATGTTCAGGATTTCTGGCTGAATAAACTAATTCTGACTCTCATTATTTAATTTCTGGTAATATTCGAACTTCACATTTTCACTTTACTGAATTCTGTCCTTGTAACTTCTTAATTTCTTGCTCTCATTTCTGAGTTACACTCTCTTCTCCTTTTTATAACATTGTGACATTCCCTTAATTAAATATATCATGCCATGTACTGTTAACAAAAGTTTGCATTTTATAAAATGATTTTTCCAATTAATATTATTTTAATGCAGTATCATTCATGGTTTTTCATTTTCCTGCTGGGGATCAAGGTGATACCTGGAATATTAAAATTCCGTATGATTAACAAAAACAATACCTGTAAATGTAAGTTCTGAAGGTTTTGCTCCATATCCTCTTTTGATTTGTAGGTCACAACTCAGATTTTATTTTGTATATATCTATCAGTATATTTATTTTAATTTCATAAGTTTGTGTTGTAGAATTTCAGTTTCTTGGAGAATTTTGGATAAATACCTTAATGCTATATGAATTCAAACTTCTAAAAGTCAATTACAAATGTTAGAAAATATAACTGGAGTATATGAAAATATAGTAGTTACTGGAAAAACATATTTTAAAAATATACCCAGGAACTTCATGTTGATTTTTTCCTGTAGATTTGAACCACTTCCAGATTATCTTTTTCTTCTAGAATTTATAAAAAGAACATTTTTAGAATTATAACAATTTCCACTGAGATGCCATGGTTTATGTTTCATTGACATAAAGCTCTAGATTTCTCATTTCAGTGCAGAAATCCTAATCCTTGCATGAGATAAAATATGCCATGTCCCCATTCCTAATTTTGCTTTCTGTAGGTGCTAAACAAAATTGCATTCTTTAATATTAAGGTAAATGAAAATCATTTCCTATTTTTTCTATACAATGTATTTTTCAATCACCTTTTGGAATTTAAAAAGTATTTAATACTATATTTCAACATAAGTTATACATGTTTTAAAAAACAACAGTCAAAAATGAATATTTTATACCAAATAGACTTAAAAATGAACTGACTCATGAAGATGCAAAAAGGTCTTACGATGTACAGCTTTTGTCCACGTGATTGCCTGCCCGAGAGCCTAGAGAGAGGACAGAAAAGTGCCACTATAGGAGATGACAAAACATAGATAGGGAGAAAGAAGAGATGGTTTTCTTTTCACCTCAAATCTTTTTCTTCAGTTTTATGATCAGGGAGGGGGAGGCTGGTAGACTGTGGACCCATGGTGGAGAGGAGTAGGCACCTGCAACCAAACTCTGTGGCCCCAGAGAGGAGCATGCAGTGTCGAGTAACACAAAGGAAGAGTGAGCATGGCTAGCTTGATGAGAATGTGGACACCTACTTGGCAATGGAGCTGAGCAGTGCACCTTACATTGCATGTCTCTCAGAAAAAAATCCCTGGATGCCAAGTTATGGCCGGATCCTAGAACAACAATAAAATTGTTGCTGAAAGCTAATGGCATAAAACCAAAAATAAATCCACCCTCAATGCAGTGAAGCTGTAATTGCAGCATTAAAAAAAATACATTTTGGTGATGAAGGATTCAAGGACATTTAGGCAAGCGAAGTTTCCAACTGACTAGATTGTCTCTTATGATAATTTTCTCAGAAAGACTACAGAAGACTGATCCTATCTAAAAGGCTATACTTTATACTTTATTCCAAAAGATGGAGATAGGCTATCTCAGACTACTTACATTGAAAACAAACAAACAAACAAAAAAACCAGGAAAACTAGTTAAGAGAGCTTTTTGGATGTCTGATAGTGACTTCTGTGAACCTGTTTCAAAAAAAAAAAAAAAGTAAAACCAGTGTCACTGGCTTGGTATACAGAACAAAATTGGAGAAAACTCCTTTAGAAGCTCTTAAGCCACCATCTAGGGAGTGGCATTCAGACAGGCTTTTTAGTCCAAAACTCTGTTAAAGTCACAATGCACCCTGTGCTTAGTAATTATGGAGTACACTTATGCTAATGAGTCCAGATTTACAGATTAGCAATGCATTTTAACAATTAATTATAATCCCACAGTGATATATAATGGATGAAATTGTACATCGTAATGCTGTTACTAATCATAGCTGCTTTGCTTACTTATTATTTTTTAAGGTGGGTACATATTGATGGGGGAAGAGGGAAGAGATTTATAAGAGTTTTAGAAATGCTCATTGTATTAGTCCATTTCTGTTGCTTATAACAAAATCCTGGGAACAGGGTAATTGATAAGAAAATGAAGTTTATTGCTTACAGTTTTAGTGGCTAGGAAGTCCAAAGTCCAGGGAACACATCTGATGAGCGTCTTCTTTGGTGGTGGCTTTACAGCAATGCAGGGGTCTCATGTGGCAGAAAATGGCAGAGCAGAGAGAAAGAGACTCTCACCTGCTCTCCTTTTAAAGTTCTCAGAACTACGCCCACGACCATTATTAATCCATTCACAAAGGCATGGTCCTGCAATCTAATCACCTCTTCAAGGCTCTACCTTTCAACTACCATAATAGGATTTCCCACCTTCTTAACACTGTCACAGTGAGGACCAAGCCTCCAACACATTAAACTTTGTGAGGACACAATTCAATCCACTGCACTCATGTAATACATCCCTGGTTTATAGTAAAATAACTAGAACAGAAAAACTGCAGCATTGTATGTCCAACAGAAGAGATTTCCGAGAAGTGTTCAGTCTCTGAAGAGATAAAGTGAATATATGGGGTCATCTACGTCAAAATGCCGCTTCCTTGTAAGAGCCAGTCAATGAAGGATTTTGTTGGAATTAGTATTTAACCAGTGTACTAATCCACTCAGAGTCAAAGATAACATATTAGTACATAGCTTTTAAGAAATTCACTTACCTGAATTGCTTATTTAGCACCCACTGTCATTTAGTTGAGAGCAGGGTCTCCAGAGAAGATCAAAAGCTTGATAGTTTAGCAGAGAGGAAAAGAGAAAGAGCTGGCAGTACAAGGCTCTGTTTAGGCCTTCCCTGGACTTGGGAGGCATAGCACGAAGGCATCAGGGCCAGGAGAGAGAGCATCAAAGACAAACTTTACTTCCAAATTTAGCTCTAGTTAGTTCTATTATTCACTTCATCAGAAAACCTGGAACTAGAAAGTTAAGTCCTTACATTTTTATAACCCTTTCTAACTTTGCTATTTTACATTTTATTTTATTTTATTTCATTGGTTATGTGTATTCCTGGAGTAAAAAGCTGACCGTCACCACTTGTGCCCAAGATGTGAGAGCCAGATCAATACTATCAGCATGTACATTACCACAAATTGTGATTATTCCCTGTGTCCCCCACCCAATGAATCCCCAACCTCCCTCTACCTACACCCTCACCCACTCCAGTCTACAACCCTGGGTATGTTCTCTCCCTCTGCAAGTCCAACACACCACTGTGTTCTTTCCTTTCTTCTTTCTCTCTTAGTTCCCGCTTATGAGTGAGTATATGCAGTATTTTTCCCACTGTGCCTGGCTTATTTCACTGAACATAATTTTCTCCAAGCTCATCCATGTTGCTGTGAATGGCAGAATTTCAGTCTTTTTTATGGCAGAGTAGTAATCCATGGTGTATATATACCACAGTTTCCTTATCCAATCATCTATGGATGGACATTTAGGTTGGTTCCATGTCTTGGCTATTGTAAAGAGAGCTGCGATGAACATAGTAGTGCTATCGATGGACCTTTAAGTTGGTTCCATATCTTGGCTATTGTAAGTAGAGCTGCAATAAACATGGGAGTGTAGGTATCTCTTCAACATGATGACATCTATTCTTTTGGGTATATATCATGAAGTGGGATTGCTGGATCGTATGATAGATCTATCTGTAGTTGTTTGAGAAACCTCCATACTGTTTTTCATAACGTTTCTACTAGTTTACAGTCCCACCAACATGTAGGAGCATTGCCTTCTCTCCACATCCTCGCCAGCATTTGTTTTTCTGTCTTTTTGATTATAGCCAGTCTAAGTGGGGTGAGGTAATATCTCAATGTGGTTTTAATTTGCATTTCCCTGATGGCCAGTGATGTTGAGCATTTTTTCATGTCCCTATTGGCCATTTGTATGTCTTCCTTTGAAAAATGTCTATTCAGCTCCTTTGCCCATTTTTTAATTGAGTTATTAGTTTTTTTTTTGCTATGTAATTGCTTGAGTTCCTTCTGTATTCTGGATATTAGTCTCTTGTTGGATGTACAGTCGGCAAATATTTTCTCCCACTCTGTATGTTGCATTTTCACTCTGTTGATTATTTCCTCTTCTGTGCAGATGCTTTTTAGCTTGATATAGTCCCATTTGTTTATTTTTTCTTATGTTGCTTGTGCTTTTGGGCTCCTGTTCATAAAGTCTGTGCCCAGTCCTAGTTCCTGAAGTGTTTCCCTTATATTTTCCCTTAGTTCTTTTACAGTTTCAGGTCTTATACTTAAGTCTTTAATCCATTTTGAATTGATTTTGGTATATGGTGAGAGGTGCATGTCTAGTTTCATTCTTCTGCATATGGATATCCTATTTTCCCAGTACCACTTATTGAAGGGGCAGTCTTTTCCCCAACGTATGTTTTGTTGCCTTTGTCAAATATCAATTTAACAAAGGAGGTGAAAGATCTCTGCAATAAGAACTACAAACTACTACTGAAAGAAATTAAAGAGGACATAAAAAGATGGAAAGACATTCCATGCTCTTGGATTAGAAGAGTTAACTTTGAGAAAATGTCCATACTACCCTTTCTAACTTTGTAATGAGCTCTGTTTGTTATCACTTTTGATCTTCACAGAGCACTGTGAAGTTAGCAGAGTCAGGTTTTATTTTATCTATTCAGCAAATAACCTCCTGCATTTTCATCCTCTCCTCTTTTGTGGTAGGTCATTCTTAAGGAGGAAAAAGGCTCAGAAATATTGGGTAAGTACTTAAAGAAATAAACTGCCAACTTGAGACAAAGAGAACACGTACTGTTCAATCTGGATTGTGTTTTTAAAACAACTTTATTGAGGTGTAATTGACATTCATAATATGACTGCACATATTGGAAGTGTACTCTTTGATAAATTTCATACCTGCAAAACCATCACCATAGTCAAGATGATGAGCATATCCAACATCTACAAAAGTGTCTTCATTCCCTTTTGTAATCCCTCCCTCCCTGTCCTCCCTGCTCTGATTTTTTTCTTTCTTCTCTTTAATTTGTCTTATATGCTCTTCTTCTAACTTCTTAAGGTAGAAGCTGAGATCATTTATTTGAGATCTTTTATCAATTCTCACATAAACATTTAGTGTTATAAATTTTCCTCTAAATACCACTTCTGGGGTGATCACAAACTTACATAAGTTGGGTTCTCATTTTCATTTAGTTCAAAATACTTTGAAATTTTCCTTTTGGATTATTTTTTGACCCATGGTTTATTTAGAAGTTGTGTTATGTAGTTTCCAGACATTAGGGGATTTTCCAGTTATTTTTCCTTACTGATTTATAATTTAATTCCATTGTAGACAAGGAATATAATTTTTTACGACTTGAATCCTTTGAAATGTTTTGAGACTTGTTTTATGTCCCCAAATCTGGTTCTGTCTTGGTAAATGTTATGTATATACCTGAAAATAATCTGTATTCTGCTATTGGGTGGAGTGTTCAATAAATTTCAATTAGGTCAAGTTGGTTGGCAGTATTGTTAAAATAACTTATATCCTGATTTTCTACTTATTTGATCTATCGGTTGTTGAGAGAGGAGTGTGGGATCAACTATAATTGTCGATTTGCCTGTTTCCCCTTGCAGTTCTCTTAGTCTTTGCTTCATGTATATTAAAGGTCTGTTATTAGGTGCATAAATGTTCAGGATTGTTATGTCATCTTGATGAATCAACTCCTTTATCATTATAAAATGTCTTTATTTTTGGTAATATTCTGAAGTCAAATTTTTCTGATATTAATATGATTAGTGATAATATGTATTTTTTACTTTTTAACCTATTTATAGGTTAAACCCATCCTTTTACTTTTAACCTATTTATATTTCTTATAGGAAGCATATAGTTGGGTCTTGCTTTTCTGTCCAATCTGTCTTTTAACTCAGGTAATTAGATCATTTATACAAAATGCAAATATTGATATGGTTAGGTTTAAGTGTATTATCTTGTTGTTTGTTTTCTATTTGTCTCATCTGTTCTTAGTTCCCCTTTTCTCTTTTTCTGCATTCTTTTGGATTAATATTTTTATGATTTTATTTTTTATTTTCTTTGGCTCATTAGCTATAACTTTTTGTTTTATCTTCATGGTTGCTTTAGGGTTTATAGTAAACATCTTTAATTTATTACAGTCTACCTTCAAGTTATATTACACCACTTCATGAATACTATAAAAGATCTGTACAATTGTTTACTTCCATTTCTCCCATCCCAAAATTTGTGCTTTCATTGTCATACATTTTACTTTTGCCTGTGTTATAAACCTCACACTAGATTATTGTTATTTGTTTAAATAGTCCATTATCTTTTAAAGAGGTTTTAAAACCAAGAAAATGTCTTATAACATTTACCCATATAGTTACTATTTCCAGTGTTCTTTATTCTTTTGTGTGGATCCAGATTTCCATCTGGCATCATTTTTATTTTTCCTAACACTAACTGTTGGCGAGGTTCTGCTGGTCCCCAAAGAAGGCCCCTGTGGAGGAGGAGGAAATAATTGTTGTTACACATCTAAAAATCCAAGTTTGATTTCTGGGATCAATGACCTTCAGGGATGTGATCATAGACTTTGCTCAGGAGGAGTGGAAATGTCTGAATTCTGTTCAGAGGGATCCAGATGTGACGACATTAATGGAACAAAGGACATAGCCTGGATGGTTATAGGGAAAAAAATAGGAAGTGGGTACACAGTGGCAATTTGGAACTTCACCTTCTACTATAAGACTTGGCCTGAAATGGTTTGTATGACATGGCCCATTTGGGAGCTGTTTATCAAATTCAAATGTGGCAAGGTAATTCTGAGCAGTATAATGAAGGGATTTGTATAAATTCAACATGGTTATAAATATAGATAATATATTGGGTACATGTTATGGTGTAAAAGTGGATTGGAGAAATGGGAAGCAAACTCTCTACTAACCTCCTACAGGCTGTTGCAATAATCCAGATGAAGCTGATGAGGTTTTATTATGGCACTGGCAACGGAGAACAAGGAAATTAACATAAGTAAGGTAAAATCAAAAGAACTTAGAGACTAATGTGATGTGAGGGGAGGGAAAAGAAAATCCTAGGATGCTTCTCAAACACTCAAGAAGTGTGTGTGTGTATGCTCTAATTTTTAGGATCCCATTTCAGTTTAGTGAGTCTTTTTTTAACAATAATGTTTTACAAAAAGTCATAGTCTTCTAATGTGGTTACTTGTATTCATCAGATTCAAACCATATCCTTGAATTTTCCACAGAGACAGATTCACCCCCAATTTCCATTCTGCTTTCTGCCCTTTTTCCATAGTAAATAGATCACCAATTTCTTTTTGGGCTTATGACCATCCACAAAAAGAATTACTTTACTGCTATTAGATGTTGACATTTAAAGCCAATGTGATGACAGTAGAATTTTGTGGCAGTTTTGGGGAACCTTTCTTAAAGAAAAAAACAAAACTGGTTTGTGCCCTTGGATTCCTTTCTTCTTTCTTCCTTCATCATTCAATTTCTGGATGAGTGTGAGGTCTTTGAGAACTTGGTAGAGCAGAGCCATAATGCAAGTTTTAGACAGCTTAACTTCAGACTTTTACATAATAGAGAAATTAACTGTCTTATTTGAACCACAAATATTTGGGGTCTATCTTGCAACCAAACTTAGTTTTAACTGATACATCTAGCTTTCTGTATATTAAGAACAGTCAACATAACTGCCTATCTTGTCTAACTCAAAAGCAGTGGCCTATAAAAAGAAAGAAGCTTTCTCAAGTGTGTTCCTAGGTAATACTCATCCCCACCTCATAAAACCCGGGAAAAGGTGGACATTTTCCCCCGTATAATATAAATTTCTGTTTTATCAGTGATCCTCCAGGATAAACTCACAGAAAGCATTAAATAGTTTGTTGAAGTAATACACAAACCTCAGGAGATAACAAAAGCTTTAGAGGAGAACTTGGTGCAGCTTGAACCATTTCTATAATCATATTATTTGATGTAATGGGATGAACAACAATTGGAAAAAGAAAGTGATTCCCTTGATGCTTGGTGTATTAGTTTTCTATTGCAGCATGTGGTGAGCAGAGTAATGGCCCCCCAAATATGGCTGCATACAAATCCCCAGAAACTGAGAATATGTGAATATAACCATGTGAATATGTGAATATAACCAGGTTACCTCACATGGCAAAAGGACTCTGCAGATGTGACTAAGTTAAGGATCTTGATATGGGGAGATAATTCTGTATTATATGGATGAACCCAGTGTAATAAAAAGGGTGTTGATGAGAGAGAGGTGGGATGATCAGTCAGATAAGTAGGTATGATGAAGGAAGCAGAGATCAGAAAGACAGACAAAGGCTTGAAGATGCTGCACTGCTGGCCTTGAAGATGGAGAAAGGGGCCATGAACCAAGGAATGTAAGTGGCCTCTGAAAGCTCAAACAGTCAAGGAAATAGATTCTTCCCCAGAAGCTCCAGAAAAAGCACAGCCCAATAAGCACATTGATTTTAGGGTTTCTGCCTTCCAGAATTGTAAGTTAATAGATGAGGGTTATTTTAACTCAATTGTTTGTAGTGACATGTTACAGTAGCAATAGAAATCACATGCATGGTGTAAAAATTTACTACAAAGTTAGTAACTTAAAACAGCACACATTTATTATCTCATAGTTTCTATAGATTAGAAATTTAGGCATAGCTTAAGTAGGTCCTCTGCACGGTATCTCAGAAGGCTGTGATCAAGATGTCAGCCAACTGTGTTCTTATCTGGAATCTCGACTAGAGAAGAATCCATTTCCATGTTCATTCAATTTGTTGACAAACTTCATCTCTTTGCAGCTGCAGAACTCACGTTGCCATTTTCTTGCTGGCTATGGACCAGAGGCTGCTTTTAGCAAGTAGAGGCTTTTCTCAGTTCTTGCCCTGTGGCCCTCTCCATAGGTTCTTTTACAATATGTATGTGTGTGTGTGTGTGTGTGTGTGTGTGTCTGTGTGTGTAATCATGGGAGTAACATCCCATCACCATTTCAAAGGAGTGATACCCATCTTTGCCATCTTCTGTTATCTAAAAACATATGACAGGTTATATCCACAGGGCATGAACATGGGGACCACCCTAGGTTCCATTCACCACACTCAGTATAAGAAAATTACAATAATTAATCAGTCCTGTCAGCTGCTGTCTAGTGAGATTTGAAATCGGGCAGAGCTTTGGGCTTGGCAGAGATAGGGAAGCTAAAGTCCATGAGAATGTACATATGTTCTTCAAAAACCATGTGCTAAAATGTTCATAGCAACCCCATTTATGAAAGCTAAAAATAGGAGAACTATCCAATTTCCTCTCAGTAGTAGATAGGATAAATAAACTAGTATTACTTTGGATGAATATTCAATATACAGAAATGAGAATGAAAATTTAAAAACTGTGTTTAACCATCTCAATGAACTTCTAAAGCATAATATTGAGCAAAAGAAACTAGACATGAGTGCATACTCTAGGATTCAATTTGTGGAAAGCATAAAATAGATGAAATGAATTTATGCTGTCACAGAATACAACATTTCTTTTTAAGGGCTGTATAGTATTCTATTGTGTATATATACCACATTTTCTTTATCTATTCATCTGTTGATGGACACTTAGGTTGCTTCCACATTTTAGCTATTGTGAATAATGCTGAAATGAACATGAAATGCAGCTATGTCTTTGACATACCAATTTCAACTCCTTGGGATATGTACCCAGAAGTGGGTTTGCCAGATCATATGATAATTGTATTTTTAGTTTTTTGAGGAATCTCCATACTATTTTCCAAAATGGTTGTACTAATTTACATTTTATCAAGAGTGTACAGGGATTACCTTTTCCCCACATCCTTGCCAACAGTTGTTATCTTTTGTCTTTTTGATAGCAGCCATGCTAACAGGTATGAGGTGATATCTCACTATAGTTTTGATTTGTATTTCCCTGACGATTGGTGATTTTGATTATTTTTTGTATATCTTTTGGTCATTTATGTGTTTTTTTTTTTTTAAATATCTATTCTCAGATATCTATTTCCTTTGCCCATTTTTAAATCAAGGTTATTTGTTTTCTTGCTATTGAGTTGTTTGAGTTCCTTATATATTTTGGATATTAGCCACTTATGAAGGAAGAAGACATTATGTTAAGTGAAATAAGCCAGGCATAGAAAGACGACTATTGCATGATCTTGCTTATATGTAGAATCTAAAAAAGTCAATCTCATAGAAATAAAGTAGAAAGTTGGTTATCAGAGGTGGGGCTGGGGAGGGGAGGCAGAGAGATGGGGAGAGGGAAGATGCTGATCAGATGGCACAAAGTTTCTGTTAGACTGGAAAAATAAGTTTTAATGATTTCTTGCACTGCATGGTGACCATAGTTCATAATAATGTATTGTATATTTCAAAATTGCGGAAATAGGTTTTTAATGTTATCACCACACAAAAAAATGATCAATTGGTGAGATGCTGGATATACTGATTGGTTTGATTGAATCTTTCTATAATGTATACATAGAACAAAACATCACATTGTTTTCCAATAATATACACAATTTTTTTGAATTAAAACTTTTAAAAGTCTAAAAAATTTCTAAAAATGGGAATATAAAAATGGATCAATGTTAGTAGACATCAGTACAGTCATTACTCTTGGGTGTTAGTGACTAGATGAGAACTGGTGGGCTTTTGGGGGGCTGCTAATGTTTTATCTTTTGATTTCAGAATCAGTTACATAGACTTGTTTAGTTTGTGAAAATTCACTGTGCTGGACACTTATGATTTGTGCATTATCCTGTATGTATATTATACTACAATAGTAATAAAAACTTTTAAATAAAAAGCTTTTCAGTAAAAAAAAAAAAAGACAAAAACAAAGAAAAAAAATCAAGGTTTTGACTGATGGGATCCAGTGAGTTGTATGATTATGGCCTAAAGGGAGCAAGAACTGTAGTATAGTAGCTCAGCTGGACAATCCCTTCAGGGTAGGGACATGGAATTACGGCTAGAGAGCTGCCTGGAGTTGGCACTAGGCATGTTGTCAGGAGATATACAATGTTCTCGAAGCCCTGCATTCAGTACCCAGTGGAAGTGACCTTTAGAGAGCAGCTGTTTATGACTTCTCCCCGTTACCAGGAACACTTTTTAAAGCAAGCAGTCTGTGGATAGGCAAATGGACCCTCCTCCCCCAAGCACCTGATAAACTAGTAGTGTGGCCTCAAGGAGCCTTCTGTGCCTATGAGAAACTCATCTTGGCTGGGTTCCTGGGTGGCCTGTCTCTTTGTAAGCTTGCCATAACCTGTCAGCTGATGCTAGGGGAAAGCAGCAGGGTCTAAAATGGGAACAAAAAGTCACAAACACTTTCTGAAGCAATTAGGTGCCCCAGTGGAGCATTCTAATTTGTGGCTTCAAGTCACAGGCTTCACTTTGGCCTTTGTGGACCTTTTGTTTACTTTTTAGGACTCTACTTCTCACTGGGGTCCAGAGGAAGCAGCAAGAAGATGGCACAAAGCCAGAGTCCTCCACTAGTGAGCTCTTTATCTTCCTTCTACAGAAGCTCCACGCAGAAACAGCAACTCTGGCTGTCTCTTAAGCAGCTTCATTGTCAAAGGCTCAATAGAATTCTCCTTCGGAACAAAGGGAGATACATTTC